GCGCACGCCCTTCTGGTATATCAACACGCGGTCAACAATGTCACGACCAACAGTTTTCACCTGACTGCAGGGTGATCCATGAGCTCTACGAGGAAGCCGAACACACACACACACAAACGGCCGGATTCTTCTGTGGAAAACGCGTCGCGCACAAGCCGACGAACTTGATACACATGTGGAGGGCAGGTGTGCCCTCTTCATCCAGGCGTGCCCGCCTCGTTCGGCCCCCGGCACGAGGGCCGAACGAGAGAGAAAAACAGGCGGCCGCGTGCGTTTCCACGCTCGCCCAGGACAGCAGAGATAACGTATCCAGCTTCATGGTAAGGGGGGGGTTCTGGAGGAGGGAGGGAGAGGGAAGGAGGAGACGGCGGAAGAGGGGGTGCTAGGCAAATCCACAGGAGGGTCCACAGAGTCTCGAGGAGTCGGGGGCCCCAGAGGAGCGAGGGGAAGTAATGGGGCAGGGGAACGCATAACGAGAAGAGGAGGGAGGGGAGAGAAGGGAAGAGGGAGGAGCAAGGATGAGCAGGAGGAGGCACAGGTAGGAGGACGAATCGCAGGTGAATTTTGAACTCTTCAACGCTGGTGCTTTTGACTCAAAACGCCGCATGATATTCGCGCCTGCTTTTGGTGTGGGCTCTTTGGGCCGAAGTGAGCCCCCAGAGGCCCGCAGACTCAGACACGGCGGCCTCCCCGATCTTGCCGGATGCCGCTGGCTGGCATCCCGCAACAAACCCTGCCGGGCCAGTCTTTCGAGCTGCGCCGCCAGCCGTGGCCACCGGTCCCCCCCCCCAAGCAGAAACGAAAGACGGTAGCTTCAGAAGTGCTTCGCATCCTGCTCCTCCCACAAGCCAGATGATGAGGAACAGGGCGAGGAGGAGGAGCACGACGACGACGACGTGTGCCACGACGACGACGACCCCCGGAGGTCGCCTGACGCTTCTGGAGGCCTCTGAAGCCCCCAGAGGCCCCAGGATAGTCACCCGAAGCGCCCGGAGCCATCGTTGGCCCCCTTCGAACCTCATGCTCTCCCTTGTCCTTCTCCTTCCAACGCTGCTTCTCTTTCTCTCCTCTTCGGCATCAGCATCATCATCACCAACATCGTCGTCGTCTTCTTCAAAGTGCTCGGATTGTTCATCATCATGTCCACCATCACTAACACCATCACTCCCGAACATAATCTTCAACATCACCATGAATATCATCACCACCGCCATCACCATTACCATCACCAACACCACCATCACAATCATAATCATCATCGTTATTCTTATCATCATCATCATCATCGTTATCAACATCCTCCTTTAGCATCATCACCACCACCTTCCCCACCATCGCCATCAGCACAATCAGCATCATCTTCGCTATCATCATCATAATCATGATCACTTTCTCCACCACCATCCTCATCATCGTTGTCGTCATCATCGTGATCATCATCGTGATCATCATCATCACAATCATCACCACCATCGTCATCACCACCATCACCATTGTCGCCATCATGATCATCACCACCATCATCGTGGTTATCACCACCGACACCATCATCATCCTCATCATGATCCTCATCTTCATCATGATGATGATCTACTCCTCCTCCTCATCACCATCACCATCATCACCATCATCATCAATACCACCATCATCGTCACCACCACCACCATCATCATCATCATCATCATCATCATCAGCATCATCATCATCATCAGCATCATCATCATCAGCATCATCATCATCATCAGCACCATCATCTTCCCTCTCTTTCTTTTTCCTCCCCCCACACCTCCACGTGATGATCCGCCACCCCTCCTCGAGCCTCAGCCCCTCCATCGAACCTCAACACCCCCGCCGTCCCTTGGTGTCGGCTCCGAGTGCCCACGACCTCCCTCGAACCTCAATCCCTCCATCGATGAAAGGTCACTGGAGACCTCAGGAAGTTACCGATGCCCCAGGAGAGTTGCCCAAGCTCCCGACGCCGTCGATCCCGGGACCTCCTCCTTGAACCTCGATGCCCCTCGAAACTCCTCCTACGTCTCCTCCTTCTCCTTCTCCTTCTCCTTCTCCTTCTCCTTCTCCTTCTCCTTCTGCTCCTCAGCGTCTCGGTCATCATCTGATTCCCCAATCGGTGCTTGCGCTCAGGGGTCTCTCACTTCCCTTCGAAGGAGTCTGGGCCTGGCTGGCGGTGCGGCCAGCCTGTCGCCGCCCGTCGCCGCCACCCGCCTGGGCCCGGGTCGCGGTCGGGACGGCTTGTTGCCGCCCGTCGCCGCCGCCCGCTTGGGCCCGGCGGGCGGTCCAGCTGGCTGGTTGCTGCCCGCCGCCGCCCGACGCGGCCGCCCGCTTGCATGGCTTCGCCGTGCTTCACATCCATCGCACTGCATTGCCTCGCATTGCACTGCCTCGCATGGATTCAGCCTTGCTTTGCATTGCGTTGCATCGCTTTGTGCAGCCTTGTATTGGTCTGCGTTGCTTCACATTGCTTCGCATTGCTCCGCATGCATTGCTTTGAATTGCTTTGAATTGCTTTGCTTTGCATTGCTTTGCGTTGCTTTGCCTCGCTTTGCATTGTTTAGCATTGCTTTTTGAATTGCTTCGCATTGCTTCGCATTGATTTGCATTGGTTTGCACTGCCTTGGTTTGCTAAAACTGGTTTGCACGGCGTTGCAGTGCGTCGCGGTGATTTGCTTTGCGTTGCTTTGCGTTGCTTTGTACTGCGTTGCATTGTTTTGAATTGCTTTGCATTGATTTGCGTGGCTAGATTGATTTGTTTGCATTGTATTACATTGCTTCGCATTGTGTGAATTGCTTAGTACTGCTTTGCGTTGCTTTACAAAGCTTTGCATTGCTCTGCGTTCCTTTGCATTGATTTGCATTGCGGTGAACTGCTTTGCACTGTTTTGCATTGATTTGCATTGCGTTGCAGTACTTTGCGCCACATGGGTTGCAACCCCTAGCTTTGCACAGTACAGATTGCAAGAAGTCACTGTTTGGGGTCCACGCCGGCTAACATCACATTGTCATCATTAGCCTTCGTCGCCATCATCATCAACATTACCAGTATCATCGTGATCAGCACAACCGTCTGATCATCATGCTCCCTCCTTTCTCCCTTATTTTCCTCCCCCAACCTCCCCGTGATGATCCTCCATGCCCCCTTCTTTGATGTCGGCTCCGAGTGCCCACGATCTCCCTCGGGCCTCGATCCCTGGATCCATGAACGTCTCCAGAGGCCTCAGGAAGCCCCCATGAGGCCCCAGGAGAATTGCCCCAAATGCCCGAAGCCTTCGATCCCCGAACCTCCTCCTCGAACCTCGATCCCCCTCGAACCTCCTCCCCCTTTTCCTCCAACTCCTCCTCCTCCTCCTCCTCAGCGTCGTCGTCATCATTCTCTTCGTCTTGTTCTTGATCTCCTTCTTCGTCGCAACCATTATCCTCATCACCACCACCATCACCATTATTATCACCATCATCATCATCATCAACATTATCATCACCATGATCAGTATCCTCCTCCTCCTCCTCCTCCTCCTCATCGTCTTCATCAACATCGTCACCATCACCACCCATCACCATCTCCCCTCCTCCTCCTCATCATCACCACCATCATTATCTTCATCATCATCACCATCCCTCCCTCCCTTTCTCCCTCCCTCGCATCTTTCCCCCCCTCCCCGTGATGATCCCCCATTTTTCCTTCCTCGGTGTCGGCTCCGAGTGCCCACGATCTTCCTCGTATCTCGACCCTAGAGAAAGAAACACACCCGCCACTGTGCCCTTGAGGCAGGAGCTGGAGTGTCCTTTGGTCCTTGACCCAACCCTTGAGCCCCAGTCCTCAATCCTGAGGATTCTTTTGGGAGCCCAGACCCCAAATTGCCAAATCTCTTTGAGCTCCCAGCATGCCCACTGGGCCCCGTCGCGGCTTGTTGCATGACATGTTCGGGCCCAAGAGGGCCCAAGACGGACCAAGAGGGTCAAACGATGCCCGCAAGACGATCCAAGAGGACCCCGAATCGCCGAACTTTTTGTCCAAGACGCCCAAGATGGCCTCCAGTCGGCTGAACAAAAAAAACGCTCAAGACGTCCCAAGGGGCCTCCGAGAGCCTTCCCAAGAGGGCCCCGGGAGGCCAACGTCATTGATGCTCGTTACGCTTTTCTTATGTTTTTTGGGTTCTCCACTTTTCGAGCTTCCGATACTCTAAGACGTCCCGAGAGGCCCCCAAGATGGGCCAAGAGGCACCCAAGACGGCCCAAGAGGGCCCCAAAACAGCCCGAAGAGGTGCCCAAGAGGGGGAGTGCGAACCGAAAATCCGAGCCTTCTGCCTCAAGAGGCGCACAGGCGCCCAGGAGGCCCCCATGAGGCCCCCGAGAGGCCCCCAGGAGGCCTCCACGAGGCTCCCAAAAGCCCACCAGCGGCCCCAAGAGGCCCCAAGAGGCCCAAAACAGGCCCCAAGAGACCCAAAACAACCCCACCAGAGGCCTCAAACTGCCTCCAGGAGGCCCCCGTGAGGCCTCGACGAGATCCCAACGAATATCATATCCAAGGGGCCTCAGACCCACACCACATCCATTAGATACATGAACATCACCTTTTGGAGGCCCGCGCGGATGTCTCGGATCGGCGTTGGACCCCCCCCCTCCCTGGCTCGCGGAGCGCGCCAGAACGGCGCCGGAGGCGTCATCACGGGGACCCAGCGCCGATCCGAGAAATCCGCGTGGAGCTCCGAAGGCTTACTTTTGCGCCATACGGTCGGACCTAGGACAGAAGAGAAGAACATCCTTCAAGAACACGGGACCCTCCACCGGCCAAAGCACCCCAAACCATAAAGATCACTCGAGGGTAGCCTCCCCCAGGATGCGCAAGAACACCCGACAGCACACGAAAAACATTAGGGTACCATCCCCGCACCGACCTCGTCCTTACACCTTGGTCCGGCCGTGCTTGCTTTTTTGAACCGATCGACGGACGATGGACCTCCTCGATCGACGGACGTCACCGAGGCCTGGCGCCCGCGACGTCGAGCACGGACAGCGCTGCGCCCTCGAGCCTCGCGCGGGCCTCGCTCCCGGGCGCGGCACCGCAGGCGCCTGCGGACGGCGCCAGCCGCCTCGAGGTGTCCTAGGCGGCGACGGGCGAAGAACGAGCAACAGTCGACGATCGGGGGCGACGGACGACGATGGCGACGGACGACGACGAGCGAGGAGCGAGGAGCGACGACGACGACAACGGCGGCGACGGACGACGACGACGACGACGGCGGCGACGGACGACGACGACGACCACGTGCGACGAACGCGGCGAGGATGGCGACGGCGACGGCGATGGCGACGGCGACGGCGACGATGGCGATGGCGACGGCGACGACGCGACGGACGACGCCAGCGACGACGACAACGATCGAAGGTTTCAGACCCGTTTTGAGAGGCTTTCGGTCTCTGGAGGGCCCTGGGGGCCTCCAGAGACCTCTCGGGGACGACGATGACGACGGCGTCTTCGTTTCGGATGTTTTGGGGAGACTCTGGAGGTCCTCGTCGCCGCGGCTGCAGGCATCTCGAAAGACGGGTCAGGACGGACACCAGAGGGGGTCCGAGGACCCCCTTCGAGCGGATTCTCTTCGGACGGCGACGGCGACGGCGACGAGGATGTCCTCCAAGAGTTTGGCGTCACTTTTCGATTTGGGTACGGCCAGACCCAAGACAGAATAACATCTTTCAGGAACACGAGACCCTCCGCTGGCCCAGATGAAGAACATTCCAACAGGATGCACAAGAACATCCAACATACATGAAAAACATTGGGGCACCCTCCCCGAAGCGGCCTCGATCTTATGCCCCAGCGTGACCGTACCTCCTGCGGGGCCCTTGTCGCCCCACGGCCCGATCTGCCTCGGGTCCCTGTGCAGGACGCACCCCGGGAGAGGCCCGGACGCTGATAGCGGGCCGCGGACGGCGGTCACGACGACGACGACGACGACGACGACGACGACGACGTGCGACGCCAGCGTGCGACGCGACGCCGACTTGCGATGCCGCCGCAGCGCGCCGACGTGCGACGACGTGCGGCGTGCGACGACATGCGACGTGCGGTAAAGACCATGCGACGACGACGGGTGGGGGGGGGGGGGGGGCATTCTCGAGCCCCAGCGACCCGCGACGAGAGGCCTGCCCTGGGGATAGGGTCGGGAGCGCTGGGGGGCCCACGCCGCTGCAAGCAAGGGGGTGGCCGCGGCGTCGCAGTTCTAGCTCCGGCGGGGTGCTGCGTCCTCGAGGTAGAGGCCCCACGTGTCGAGCAGCGCCTCGTTGGTGCACGCGGTGCAGTAGCTGTCCAGCAGCTCGTCGCCTACAGGGGGGGGTGATGGGCCTGTTTTCCACCACCACCACCACCAGAAGTTGGAGGGGAGGAGCAGGAGCAGGAGGAGGAGGAGGAGGAGGAGGAGGAGGAGGAGGGGGAGGAGGAGGAGGAGGAAAAGGAGGAGGAAGGAGGAGGAGGAGGAGGAGGCGGAGCGTCCTCAGGAGGAGGAGGAGGAGGAGGAGGGAGGAGGAGGCGGAGCGTCTCAGGAGGAGGAGGAGGAGGGGAGGAGGAGGAGGAGGAGGAGGAGGAGGAGGAGGAGGACCCCCCCCCTCCAACTTATGGTGGTGGTGGTGGTGGCACAGCGAGCCTGGCCGGGCCAGGGGGAGACGCCGGCGCACGGCGCGGATCCCGGGCGAAGGCCGGGAGAGCCCCGCAGGAGCCGATCCCCGAGCGAGCACCGGCCTGGCCTGGGTCGGTGCAGGTGGCTCCTCCTCCTGCTCCTCCTGCTCCTGCTCCTCCTGCTCCTCCTCCTCCTCCTTCTCCTCCTCCTCCTCCTCCTCCTCCTCCCGATCCCGGTGGCTCTGCTTGACGCCCGCCGAGCTCCCGCTCGGACGTCTGCAAGCAGCTTGAGCTTGAAGTCGCGGTTCGGCCTCACGGGCCACCAGTTCGTGTTCATGGCCTCCTTTCTGCCGGTGTTGAGGAACTCGGACAGCGGAATCATCGCATCTGCCGTGCCCTTCGCGGTCCGCACGGAGTAAGATCGCGTCTGGAACAGCAGCAAGGCCCCGTGCACGCTATTCCACGTCAGATTTGCGACAAGGCTATGGGGCTGCTGCCGCCAGGCTTCGAAGCATGCCTGCACAGCCTCATCAGAACGCTGAGACCTGCGTATCTTCTGCACGAGCGGCAGGGTCGCAAAGTCTGCGAGCACTGCCTCGCTGGCAAGGCGCGGATGGAATGCACGGAAATCATCCAGCGTTGGCAGGGTCTGAAGCCAGGGGTAGAAGAAAGATGCCTGGCCCTTGTGCGTTTCCCCTGCCACTGCCGCAGCAATCCTCAGAGAGGCTTCCACTCGTTCTGACAACGCACTGCACATGGACTCTGAGGGCAGCTCTGCCTCCTTCACGTGTGGGAAGTTGTCCAGCCAGAGCCACAGTCGCTGGGGAATCTGCAAGATGATCGTGCCGCTGCTGATGGGCTCCCGCGCAATGACGCCGCGTACCCTGTAGCCGCCATGCTCAGTCTCGTTCGTCGTAAGGCTGGAAAGGGCGCCACCTCCTGAGGGAGCCGCACACCAAACTCAGGAGGCGGGGTGACCTAGCTCTGACTAACGGCTTGCTCCCGAGAGAAACGAGCCCTGGGCAAACTTAGATGCTGCCTCTTTCCCCATTGCTTCCTCCATTGTCCCGCACCCAGGCGCTCACCGAATCCCACGACCAGGACTGCGGAGCCTCGGGCCCCGGGCGAGGCCTCGCACGGACGTCCACGCTCAACAGGCTGAACGAATCGTCCAGGAGGCGCCCACCGCCGACGCCCTCGTCGCCTGCCACCGCGGACACCGAGGCGAGGAAGGGCACGAAGGCCCGCACCGGCACGAAGCGCAGGGCCATGACCGCAGCCGCCGCGCACACCTCTCCTCAGGGCCCGGGCCCGGGCGCCAGCGGCCTCTGCCGTGGGGCAGCCCCAGGCCACAGGGACGGCGAGATCCGCCCCCCTTGGGCGAAGGGGGGAGCCTTTTTCAATCCTGCCTCCCCCCCCCCCACGAGAGTCCCGCCGAACAGTCAAAAACCGACGGAAACGGCCAAGACTGGGCTGGCCCGAGAGGCCGCGGCGGGGGGCGGCCCGACCCTTCCTCTGGGGCCAGCTCCTCGTCCCGAGCCGTTTTGCGGACGGCCCCCGGGGCCACGGCGAGGACCCCCTGAGGCCGAGGAGTGCCGAAGACCCCGTGCGGTGGCTTGGATCCATGGCGCGAGGCTGTCCGGGGCGGCGGCGGGTGGACGAGGGCAAGGGGAGAGGGCCGAGCCCGACGCCGAATCTCGCCGACCTCGGTGTCTTCGGCTGCCCCGAGCCTGACGGCCCCCGCCGAAGGCCCGCAGGGCGGCGGCAGGGCCGCGCGGTGTATGCAATACAGGAGGCGGGTTTCGAGCCGGGCCATGGCAGGCTACGATTGCCACGGTGAGAGGCTGTTTCTCTATTTCTGGTAGTGGTCGTCACCGGGGTAGGAGGCGGCAGCAGTCGGATCGGGCGAACTCGAAATCGGAATCGCGAATTGGAATCTCCGCATCGGCTTGGTTCGAATTGGCAACAACAGAAGTCGTTTCGAATCGAGCCAGCGGAGTCGGAACGACCCTTGGGTTGGGGCCCTGGGTAACGGTACCGAACGCTTGGGCGGGGTGGGGCACGCGGGACGGAGGTGCGCAGCGATCCCCCCAGATAGCGCGCGACTACCAACATTTTTTTGGGGTGGGGGGTCCAGGCCGGACCAACAAGTACGATCGTTACAGTTACATCCGGCGGGCGGGGTGGCACTGGTCACGACTGTTACGCGCCAGAGGAAAACACAAACAATCTCCGAGTGGCTGAGGCTGATGGTGCCGGTGCGTGCTGGAGCTAACCCTCGACGCCAGCCGCGCTCGTAGGCTTGCGCGCAGGGAACCCCATAGGATCTCTTCGGAACCCTCCCCGGGGCCCAAGACCTGCCCGAAACTGATGCGTTTTGCCCCCAGGGCGCCGGCTCCAGCATTCCGAATGCATTTTAGCTCGGAAGGGCCCAGATACCTCCATCTAATCCCTCCGCCGTCCCCCCCCCCCCACAGGAGGGAGCAAGGGAGGGAAGGAGGGGGAGGAGGTTCACACGTACGTGCCGACTGCACCAGCGAATACTGGTAATACGGCAGCAAGTGTGGCACCCAGTGCAACAAGCCCGATCTCGCGAGAAGCGCTCGCCCTGTAGAAACTCTCACTGGACAGCGTGGGCAGCATGGACCGATACTTACACCTGGCATCACACACAGACGCACGCGCACACGCACGTGCACGCGCAAGCACTTTCCTCTCCTCCGCCGCGATGCAGCCGCCGCCAAGGAACGAGCCCTGTGGCGCGCACAAGCCGAGTGGCGCTGGAACGTGGTCTGATGCGCTCAACGTCGCGGAGAGCCATGCGGGTAGCTCCGTGCGGGCGCTGAAGCGCTCACCCGGCGGTGCAGGCGTCGCCCCCAAACGGTTAGGTTCCCCATTGGGCTCCGCAGGGCACCTTGCGTTTCTTGCGTGCCCCCGATGCAACGGCATGCAGCTACTCGCAGGGCGCCAGCCACCGGCAAACCGACTCGACTGGAACATCATCTCGAGCAGCCTCCCGAAATGCGGGGAGGGCCAACAGCTGTAGAGACAGCCCAAGCAGCCCCCCAGTGACCAGCTCAAGTGTTGGCAGCAAATGCGGCTGGAAACCATTCGAGAGCTCTTCTGGCACTGCCGACGCAATATAGGAAGAGAAAGGAAGAGGAGGCGGAGGAGGAGGAGGAGGAAGAGGAGACGGAGGAGAGGAGGAGGAGGAGGAGATGGAGGAGGAGGAGGAGGAGAAGGAGGAGGAGGAGAAGGGGGAGGAGAAGGAGGAGGAGGAGAAGGAGGAGAAGCAGAAGGGGAGAGGAATGAAAGAAGCAGCAGCAGTAGGCAGAGATCCCATGTAGATCTTGTGAGCATGCGAGGCGCAGGCAGCAACGAGCATGCAGGTCGACCGAGGCGTGATAATAACGCTCGGGGTATGCACATGCGCGCGGGACTAACTGTTCCCCGCTGTCGTCCGAAAGCGAGGAACACGAACATCTCGAGCCCTTGAGCGCCAAGATCTGGAAGAAATCGGCGCGTCCCCAAGAAACGCCGACCCCAACATCCCAATTCTGTGGAACTGAACCGACATTTCCGCCAGGGCTTGCATGGAACGGGATGAGGGCAGAAGCGAGGGCCCGAAAGCCAGAGGCGGCGACTGGACAGGACGCGCGTCCCACACACACACACAAAGACGCGGACACACGGGCACACGGACACACGTACGCACAGACACACAGGCACACAGATACGCAGACACACGAACACAAAGACACACAGACACAGACACACACACAAGCACACAGACACACAGACACACACAGACACACAACACACAGACACACAGACACACAGACACACAACCACACAGTCACACAGACACGCAGAACACAGACACACAGATACACAGATACACAAACACACAGTCACAGCAAACATACACACACAGAGACGCAGACACACAGACACACAGACACACAAACTCGCAGAGGCACTGAGACACAGAGACAAAGAGACACCGCGACACAAAGACAGATAGACACACTGACACGGAGACAAAGAGACACAGGGACGCACAGAGACATGGAGAGAAAGTCACACACACACAAACAGACACACAGCCACACAGACACACAGCCACACGAACACACACGGACACACAGGCACACAGGCACACAGGCACGCAGAGACACACAGACACACAGGCACAGAGACGCAGACACATAGACACACAGACACAGAGACGCACAGACAAACAGTGACGCAGACACGCAGACATATAGACAAACAGGCACAGAGACACATGCCACAGAGACACAGAGACACAGAGACACAGGAACACAGAGGCACAGCGACACAGAGACACAGATACACAAAGACACAGAGACACATAGACACAGATACACAAACACACAGACACGCACAGACACACGGACACAGACACAGACACACAGAAACACAGTGACACAGAGACACAGGGATACAGAGACACAGAGACACAGAGACACATAGAACACAGACACACAGGCACACAGACACACAGACAAAGACACACAGACACACAGACACAAAGGTACTGAGACACACAGAAACACCGACACTGAGACACACAGGGACACAGACATTGAGACACAGAGACACAGATACAGACAGACACAACGACACACTGACACGCAGACACAGAGACACAGCGACACAGAGACACACAGACGCAGCGACACAGAGACACACCGACACACAGACACTCTTGCACACAGGCACACAGAGACACAGAGACACAGAGACACAGACACACAGGCACACAGACACAAAGACACAGAGACACGCAGACACAAAGACACACAGACACACAGACACAAAGGCACATAGACACACAGGCACAGAGACACACAGGCACAGCGACACACATATACAAAGACAAAGAGACAGCCACACAGAGACACAGAGATACAGAGAAAAACAGACACACATACACATAGACACACAGGCACACAGGCACACATACACACAGACACAAAGACACACATATCCAGCGACACAGCGACACAGAGACAGAGAGAAAAGGAGACACACAGACACAGAGACACAGAAACACAGGGACACAGAGACACACAGACACATAGATATACACAACGACACACAACGACATACAGGCACACAGAGACAGAGACACACAGGCACACAGAAACACAGACACACGGACACCATGACACAGAGACACAGAGACACACAGACACGCAAACACACAGGCACAGAGACGCAGAGACACAGAGCGCAGTGGAACAGAGGGCCCCCATCGGGAAATCGGTTTCGGCTTCGTGCTCGTGTCGTGCGTGCGAGGCGAAGCTACGTGCGCGCGCGAGAGGAATGATCCCGCCGTCGCTGGGGCGATTCGGATGCAAGTCCGGCCCTCCAATGGGCGCGCGGTGGCTGGGGGTGTCCCGCCGTGTTGTCTCGCGGCGTCCCGATGGTGTCCCGCGGTGTCTCGCAGTGGGCGCGCGAGGGGAATGCTCCCGCTGTCGCACAGGCGATTCGGATGCAACAGTCCAACTCTCTGGTGGGCGCGCCTTGGCTTGGGGTGTCCCGCTGTGGTGCCCCGCGTTGTCCCGCCGTGGTGTCCCGATGCTGTCTTGTGATGTCCCGTGGTGTCCTGTAGTGTCCCGCGGTGTTCCAGTGGTGTCCCGCGGTGTCCCGTGGTGTCCAGTGGTGTGCTGCGGTGTTCCGCCGCGGTGTCCCGATGGTGCCCCGACCGACCGTGATAGTGAGATCGATAACGACCGAGATGTGTTACGAAGGATGGAACGTGAGATCCATACCTGCATCGATAGCGAGGTCGAAAGTGAGCTCGGTAGTTGCATCGATCGTGCGAGCGGCAATGAGTTCGATCGATAGTTGCTGGTAGTTGGTTCTTTCCTCTCCGCCCAACCTCCTTATCACCCGAAAAGTGGTCGTATAGGTATGCGGGACCATCTGGACAGCAATCGGAAAGACCACGCAGGGCCAGCCTTGGCCACGAAACAGGCAAGACGCTCCTGCAGTAAACACTGCTTGGGGAGCAAGGGATGATTCGGGATCTCGCCCTCCTAGAAGCATTCCCTATCCGACCGCCTTGTTCTTCTACCTTTTTCCCCTCCCCCTCCTTCCTCCCTCCTCCTCCTCCTCCTCCTCCTCCTCCTCCTCCTCCTCCTCCTCCTCCTCCCCCTTGTCACCCCAAATCTATCATCCCCCTCTGCATGTGGCACACGGCCACTGCAAGAACCAGGCCAGGATGAGAACGCAGTGCCATGGCAAGGGTTGAGCGAAATCAAGACGTAGAGTCAGCACATGATCGACAGCGCCCCTGGCGGAGCCAGGGAGCCAACTGCTGGCCGACGATTCTGGCACGGCTTAGATTCACCCCGAAGCGGAAGTCAAAATCTGCTCTTCCTCCTTATCCTTTTTCACCGTCCTCCTCCGCCTCCTCCTCCTCCTCGTCCCCCATCGTCCCCCTCCTCCTCCTCCTCATCGTCCTCCGCCACCTCATCGTCCTCCTCCTCCGCGTCCTCCTCCTCGTCGTCGTCGTCGTCCTCCTCCTCCTCCTCCTCCTCCTCCTCGTCCGCGTCCTCGTCCTCCTCCTACTCCTCCTCCTCCTCCTCCTCCTCCTCGTCCCCCTCCTCGTCTTCGTCCTCGTCCTCGTCCTCGTCCTCCTCCCGCCTCCTCCTCATCCTTCTCATCCTCGCCCTCCTCCTCCTCCTCCTCCTCCTCCTCCTCTTCATCGTCCTCGCCCTCCGCCTCCTCGTCCTGCCTGCTCCCTCCACTCCCATCGCAGGCCCACGCCGCTGTGCTCTCGCGGCGCGAAGGCAG